ATTGTGTATGCCATTTCATTTCATAGCATTGTGTATGCTAGGTTGTATGTTAGCGCATTGTGTATACCATGTTACCTCGTGCATCGTGTATGCCATTTCATAGCATTGTGCATGCTAGGTTGTGTATTAGTTGCATTCACGCATGTCATGCATATTGCATTGTGCTTGGGATAGGAGTTAGCCCGAGCACGGGAAATGAGGAACGTTTCGTACTTCGAGTGACGGAACGTGTCTCAATTCCCAGTCCCCGACACTCCGGATTATCCATGATAGAGTGTAGGTTTTGTTGTGTTTTCATGTGCATTCATTCTATATTGAGTTGCACAATTCGACTCCTCGGCCATCATGCATCGAGATGCGTGATTGGTGGCACGAGGATCGAGGCATGCATACATTTGTGAAAATACATTGCCATGCCCTTTTCCTGCTCTCTGTTGAGAAAATTTTATCAAATCTTTTTTTTTTTTCCAAAAAATTAGATGGTCTTTTTTTTCATCGGGTCACCATCAAACCATTCTTTCAAAAACAAACATGAAATGTTTTGTTCCAATTCAGGCGACCCAGTCTATACTTGTATGCTGTGCGCATCACATAGTAAATCTAGGCTAATAACCGGAATAAGAACACACAATGTTTTCAAAACTTGATATCATGGTTAGTAGAGGCCGATCTTTGATCGGGCGAGCGGGGGTGCTCACGAAGTGACCTGCCCCAATCGTACCCAAGTTCCCGAGCCGAGGCAACTTTGGTGATGACGGACACGTGGCCTTAGGCAAACGAGTCAGGGTTTCCTAAATTTTCCCAAAACAAAATATTTAGGTGGCGACTCTGTATCTGGCAAAGCAGCCCATGTTTGACACTTCTTTCAAAAACCTGTTTTCTCAAAACGATTTGCCGGATTTGGACTCTTTGGTTCAGATTAAGAACCGTGACATTTGAGAGTCCTGAGCTGTAGTGACCCTAAATGAACAGAACGGGACTCACCCTCCTGGGGCGTTCGGGGACGTCTACAAAGATAGAAAATTTTACTAATGATATACACTCTCTAATCCAACTGATCCATTTATTGCCAAACCCAAAATTTGAAAGCATAGAGAAGAGGAAATCTTAGTTAATAGAATCATAGGCTTTCTCAAAATCTAGTTTTAGTACAATGCCTTTCTTCTGTTTCTTCTTCTAACCATCAACTATTTCATTCGCAATTTATGCTCTATCCAAAATATTTCTTCCCCCAATGAATGCTGATTGAGATTCACTAATAATACTTGACATTACTTTCTTCATCCTGTTTGATAAAACTTTTGCGAGAATTTTGTACAAAGAACCTATGAGACTAATAGGCCTAAAGTCATTAAGACAAAAAGGGTTATCAGATTTTGGAATCAAAGCCACAAAAGAACTATTAATTCCATGTACCAATTTATAGTTTTAGCAGAATTCCTTCATAAATTTTATCACATCACCCTTAATTGTCAATTAATATTTCTAAAACATCATCAAATTGAACCCATCAAGTCCAGGTGCCTTATTCTCTTCACAGTTCTTTACTGCTGTTATTATTTCTGCTTCAGTAAATTCAGCTTCTAATGCATCTCTAGCCTCAGCTCCCCCAATGGACTTAAAAGGACCAGATAAGCTTGGTTTACTAGGCCAATATTCAGTAAAATGATTTCTGAAACGCTGCAAGACTTCATCCCTAATATCTTTAAGTTCTTCCTTCATAACCCCATCCACATTGATTGAACACAATGCATTCTTACTGCTCCTGGAATAAGCCATAATATGGAAAAAATTTTGTATTTCTGTCCCCTTTTAATGCCCAATTAGTTCTGGATTTTTGCACCCATATCCATTCCACCATTCTACTCAATTTCCAAGCCTCTTCTTTTGCCTCCCTTCTTCTAGATAGCTCTGTCTCAATCAGAGATCTTTCTTTAGCTGCCCAATCAAGCATGTGTAGTTCCTCCTCAAGAAGCTTGAGATTAAATTCCACATTTCCAAAAGCCTCATTATTCCATTTTTTCAAGGCCAATTTAAGTGCTTGGAGTTTCCTTAGGCATTTGAAACCAGCCCAACCCACCACAGTAGTTTCAACCCAAGCTTTCTCCACAATGGCTAAGAAATTTGGATGCAAGGACCAAGCATTAAGAAATCTAAATGGCTTTGGACCTCAATCCCTCTCATCTTCCATAAGCAAAATAGGGCAATGATCTGAGATTCTTCTTGGTAACCTCCATAGTTTAAAATTAAACTTATGCATCCACTCCGGACTGAACAAGAACGTATCGATCCTACTCCATTTCTCTCCTTCCTGTGAGTTACACAAGGTGAATTTTTTTCCCATCATTGAAATATCACACACTTCTAGATTGTCAATTAGTTCATTAAACTCTCTCATACCCCTATCTCTACTAGAACATCCCTTCATTTTAGATACACACATAATTTCATTAAAATCACCCCCCCTAACACCAAGGTTTTTCATATAACTGATTTAATCTAGATATCCCACACCATCCTCCTTATAACACTATCATCAGGGCCATATACATTGACTATAACACATTCAAAGCTATAATAGAGAGTACCTGACAGAATAATGAAATTCTTATTTGAGCAGCAATCTTGCATCTGAAAAACATCTGGATTCCAAATGCATACTAGCCCACCAGCTACTCCATCTGAATCCACTGCCATGAAAGACATCTAGATTCCAAATGCATATAGCTAGTTTTTGTCAACATAATAATGAAAAGAATAATGTCGTGATAATTATATTTGAGTATCATCTAACATAACACATGACATTAATCATATTATTTATAGTAAATTTAAGTGCACATGTGACTCAACTATAAAACATAGGGTAAATCCCACATGTGGTGGATTGGACTCTACATATGTGTGACTCACCATTTGTGTCAGATTTGTGTTCCATTCTGTTAAACTTTTATGTGTTCCTGCACATTTGCATTATCTAATATGTTCCACAAAAATATTAGAGTTGAAGTAAAATTGATGCATGGAAGCATATCAAAAAGAAGAGCAAATAATAAGATCAAACCACAAATAAATCCGAATTAGAGATACTCTCTCTAAGTGCGAAGAATATTAAAAAAACTCTCAATTTTAATTAATTAAATATAAACCGTATTGCCTGGCGTAAGACTCATATTTATTTATATTAAGAGAATTCTTATTAATTAAGAAAATTTGAAAATAATATATACACACATATTCTTACTAGTTAAGAATATCTAAAAAGGAAAATAGATTAATTCTCGTAAAATAAAAAACAGAAAATAGCAAAAGCTAGATCAGGAAATATAATATAGATGAGAAAATATAATAATGATATACTATTCTATACCAATCAAATATTAACTATAATAATTATAAATTATAATATTCCTAATCAAATATTAATTCTAAGAAAAATGATATACAAGTCCACTTTTTAAATTCATTTTCTAGACCTAATAATGTGTAAGTAATATGATTAGTTGATAATTAAAGAAAATATGAAAGAGAAATAATACGTAAAAGTGATTGGTTGATTGATCATTGGATTTGAAAGGTAAGTCTAATTTTTTGGTTTGAATAGCACTATTCTAATTCTAAAATATAAAAATAAAAGGGAAAATGTTATACAATTCCACTTTAAGTCTCGTGTGCATAAAAAATGGGTCTATCAAATAGGGGTGTTCGCGGATTGGTTTTTAACGATTCAATTTGTGGTTTGGACCCGCCCACATGTTTGCGGGTTGAAAAAAATTGAACCCGCAACCGCCCGCAATGCAGATTGTGGTTTGTGAGGATAGGGTTCACAGATGTGCGAACGGTTGCAGACGGTTTGCGGATTAAGCTTTTAAGTTCAAAAAATTATTTTTCAACTTGTTTTTTTTCTCATTTTTTAAATATTTTTGATTGCGGGAGGTTCAACTCTATCCTCTATTAAAGCTGGATTACAAAAAATAGAATGAAAATTAAATGAAAAGTAACTTAGAAAAAGAAAATCACATAACTAGATTTGTAAAAAATTTTAAAAAATTTCAATTGAATAATAAGTATTTTAAACAAGGCAGTGTGTGACACTATTATAATGTTATAATGTTAGAGCCTACATGTTTAATAATCAGATTAAAGTGAGTGAGAGAGAGAAGATTAGGGTTACACGCTTAAAAAATTTACAAGAAAATTTGATAGTCCAGATTTAAAATATATATATATATATACAAATGCGGGCCCACAACCCGCAAAATAGAAAAATCCTAAGCCACATCTGACCCTAATAATCATGCAAACTGCCCAAATAGGTGTAAGCGGTTCAAGTTGGGCGGTTTTTGCGGATCGAATAACTTTATACCTAACCCTAATATCAAATGATGTGGTTAATATTACGTAAAATGGTAAAAATAAAAGTATATAATAGTTTTAGTTGGCTCTTTAAATTTTTACGAAAAAATGTGTAAAAAAATATAGATAGTAATGTAATAACTTGTAGTTATTTTTTGACTTTTTGACTAAAAATCAAAGTCTCAAGATGGGCCATAAATGTGACATTAAAATCTTACATAGAAAAATTTTAAATCAAAATATCACATTTTAAAATTAAATAATGCTATATGCACCAATTGGCACACCAATTAGTGTACTAACAGAAAATGTGACATAATTTTAAAAATTTTGTGTATTAGTAATTTGTATAATAGGTGAAGTCATAATTTTAAAATAATAATATCATAACATATATTGATACAGTAATTAATATAACAATTAATGCATATAGCATCACAATTTAAAATTATAACAAAACTAGAGAAACTAATTAATAGCTTACCCTTAAGCCATCCTATAAATCGGGTCCTACCCTCCTTGACTTCTTCATAGTTCCCAACTTAACCCATCAATCTTGCACAGAGAGAGAGAGAGAGATGGAAGGTTCATTTCTTTCCCATGCACTAACAACTCTTTTCATTCTCCTTCAATTCACCGCCTACATGCCCTCTTGCTTAGCCAATAAGCCAATACCCACAAATGCAAACACAGACTTCATCAAAAAATCATGTACCATCACATTGTACCCTCAATTATGCTACGACTCCCTCTCAATCTTTGCGGACAAAATCAAAACTAGCCGCAAAAACTTAGCCACCTTTGCCATCTCTGTTACCCTCTCAGCCGCCCAATCAGCCTCAGATTTCGTGACAAAGCTGTCAAAGAGTCCGGGCCTGAGCCCCGTGGAGGCTTCAGCCCTAGCTGACTGTGTCGAACTATCGGGCGACTCAGTGGATGAGCTCAGCCGTTCCTTGAAAGAGATAGCTAATACTAATTTTGGAGACCCCAACTTTGGTAGAGAAGTAAATGATATTCAGACTTTTGTTAGTGCTGCATTGACAGATTTTGTTACTTGCTTTGATGGCATTTCTAAGAAAGCAAGTGGGCAAGTCAAGACTAAAGTCGGGACGCAAGTTTTGAACGTTGAGCATTTGGCTAGTAATGCCTTGGCTTTTATCAGCAGCTATGGTACAGGTCCCCAGACAACCTCACCATAAATGTGCGACTCAGATTCATAATTTTATGTGCGTGTAACATTTGTTCCTAAATAAAGAGGAGAAACTAGTAGAATCTTATTCTATTCCACATTTATAGCTCAATGGTGTTTTAGTATTTGAGAAGGAATATATATAGAGAAACGAAAAATTAAGGGAAAAGTGACACCAAAAAAAAAAAAAAAAAACTTATATCTATTTTTTTCTTTGCACGTTCTTCTTTCATAAACAACCATATTCATCCTAATCATTGCTTATAAAAAAAAATTTCAGGGTTTCTGAATAAGTTAGAAGGGGTGGTCTGGAGTGGGATTTATTTAATTAGGAGATCCCATTAAAAAAGAAATACTATAATGAATAATGTTTTAGAGCACTAAATTGGGAGCTCTAGAGCATCACTAATGATGTGGCACAGTGGCCCCCACCAAAGTGATGTGATGTTTTGGCTTGAGTTTGTTTTTTTTTTTTTTTTATTAAGCTCATTAGAGCTATTAGTGGTTCAAAAATTAGTGGGATGAATCACCACTCATACTATAATTCTATTTATTAAGAAACATATCTTTTGTTTGTCATATGCAAGTAGGTTGTATCAACCATGTTAATATGCTGATGCAAACAAAATTTACCACTATTATATAATTTTATTTTATATTTACTAGAAAATATTTAATTATAAATATTCCAGCTTAGTATAGAATATTATAAAATTGTTAGGTTTATTTTTAGTCAAGGATATTTTAAAATATATAAATGAGAAGGAATTGAAATCTTTTTGAGAACTGAATTAATATATAAATGGTTTCTTTCAATTCCTTCTCATTTTTGAAATATATAAATGAGAAGGAATTGAAAGAAACCATTTATATATTAATTCAGTTCTTAAGGCATACTAGTGGTTTCTTTCAATTCCTTCTCATTTATATATTTTAAAATCTGCTTCAAACATGATTAAAAATAAACCTAACAACAAATCACACTGAAAGCAGTTCTGGATTTCAATACAAAGCTAGGATAGAATTCAAAACTTCGCTAAAAGAGCTATTTATTCAGGCATTCACTTTGTGAGGGGGACTAACTATCCTCCTTGGACAGCCTTGGCCATGCCAAATGCAGCTGCAGATGCAACCGCTCCGATCAACGCTGTTTGCAGCGCACTCTTGATGGGTTTATTTCCAGTGAAGTAACCCTTCACTTAGCCAAAAATTAGCAATGCGAATAGAGTTAAAATTACTGATGCGATCACAGCCTTTCTCGCGATTGGAATGAACATGTATGGGATTAGGGGGACTATTCCACCTACGATGTATGCAATCGCAACCGTGAGCGCGCTGTGTACTGCTCTCCTTGGATCCTGTTTCTCCAATCCCAGCTCAAACCTGCACTTGTCATGGAAAATTTTTGGTTTGGTCACCAGTTTTTTTTTCCTTTTTTTTTTTTTCTTTAGTCAATGCAAGCATTAAAACCATTGGAATTGGAAAAACAAGAAACAAATGGAATATGGATGGAATATGGAAGGAATATTAGTGATACAAATATATAGCACATGATGCAGAATTTTAGCCCAAAACAAAGAGGAAAGTTGGAAAAGAGAAATAGGAAACAAATGTGACAAATTTCATACATGGTGGGTAAGGCAATGAGTTATTTTTGTTTTAATAAGAAAATATTAAAATCAATTTATTGCTTTAGAATTGTCAACTCTATATGCATTTTATCAGAGCATACAATTGAGGTCTATATCGCTTATTGAAATTTCTACTTCATAGTACCTAAAGGAAATTAGGTATAAAATTGTATAGCAACAATTATTGCTATACACTTGGATTTAGAAAGTGAATGACTAACATAATCAAAATAGGACTCATTGTTGGGAAATACATAGTGGACACGCGAGTCTAACTAAACATATTTGAACTTTTCTCCAACTGGTGATCAATCAAATCTTTTTCCTTAACTTTGTGTTTTGGAAATAATTTTTGATAACTAAAATAGAAAATTAACATTGTAGCCTATGATGGTGGAGACTATACTTAAATTATACTGTGTTTGGATTGGGTAATTTAGGAAGAAAAGAAAATAATGTATGTTTCTTGATTGATATCACCGGATTAGGTTAGTAAAGAAGACAAAAATGAGAAGGAATTGAAAGAAACCATTTATCTTATAATTCTTATTTTGATTCTCTTCAAAAGTGAACGGGTTATAAGATTGGAAAAACCATCAAATTACTGTTATGTTATTATATTACTACAATTGACCCTTTAGATATAAGGCCGTTTAGTATCACTTATAAGTTAATTTTTATCATTACAACTTTCTAGATTGTTAGTTTAAAAGATTTAAAATAAGTTAAAAAATTGTTTGGAGCAACTTTTTATGATCTGTTAGCAAACAAAAAAAAAAGTTGAACTTGTCTAGTTAAATAAACATTACTTTTTTTTATAGTGCGATATCCAATATACTTTTAAAAGTTAAAATTAAGCTGGAAAAGATGTGTCTTTTTATCCATATGTATTTAAGCATTATAAATAAATTGATTTATAAGTACTATCAAATGGGGTCATGGAAAAATTAACACTTAAAAAATATACTCTTGAAAGTTAAAATTAAGCTGAAAAAGATGTGTCTTTTTATCCATACATATTTAAGGGTCATAAATAAATTGATTTATAAGTGCTACTAAATGAGACCATGAAAAAATTAGCACTTATAACAAGTTATTTTCATTGTATAATAGAAAATAATTTCTTTATTTTTTTAATCTAGTTTAACCAAATAAAATTGCAGAAAAAGATTCCATCCAAATAAGAGAGAGAAAACAGAGGGTTTCCTATATTAATTTATTTATTTATTATTAATTTTTTTATTATATTGAAATGTCCTTTCAAAATTTTCGGCAAAGTTTGTTTTTTTTTTTTGTTTTGTTTTTTTCATTTATAGAAGAAATCTATGGTGTGCGCCCCATTGGATGCATATTATATGTATCCTATCATAAATTAATATAATTTTATCATAAAATTTTGTAATATTAATCACAAAATAAATAATCTCACTATAAATTGACATAACAAAAATATCGTAACTAAATCACAAACTTTTTTTGTTACATGAATCACAAAATTTAAATATTTTATTATGCTAATTTGTGAAAAAATTATACATTTTCTGATTAATATTAAAAAAATTTGTGATAAAATTACACCAACTTATAATAGAATGCATATGGTATCACTACAACAATTAACACTTTTAGCAACAAAAAAATTGGTCGCTAAAAGTCTATTTTTGGTCGGCAAAAGTTATTCGCGACCAATTTTTTTGGTCGCTAGTTTGGTCGCCAATTGAGGGTCGGCAAAAGTAATTCGCGACCAAAATTTTCATTGGTCGGCAAAAGTTGAATTTGCCGACTAATTTTTTGGTCGCTAAATATTTAATTACCGCGACTAATTCATTTTGTCGCTAAAACACTTTGGTCGCGAAAAGTCACCTTTTGCCGACCAAATTTCTTAGTCGCCAATTGACACATTTCGCGACCAAAAAGTTTGGTCGCCAATTGTGACAGTTCGCGACCAAAAATTTTGGTCGCCAACTGTGACATTATGCGACCAAAATTAGTTTGGTCGCCAATTGTTACTTTTCGCGACCAAAACTGTTGGTCGGCAAAAGTGAGTTTCCACGACCAACAAAATTTTTGGTCGGCAATAGATGTATTTTTTGCGACCAAAACTTTTGGTCGGCAATTGTCATTTTTCGCGAAAAAAAAATAATTTATTTGTCGCGACTAATAAATTGATCGCCAAAGCAGGAAAATAATACACCTGTAATAATTAGCGAATTCATAATCAAAATAGGACGAATTCATTATCAAAACAGGTCTTATTATAAAATTTTCTATATCCAAGTTTCAACACATAACTCAGCAGCAGCAACATTGATTCCAAAAACAAGGAACAATTCACAAAACCCTATTCTAAACCCCAAATAATAAAAAACAATTCATTCCAACAAAAATTTAACATAATTAGCATCAATTTCAAAAAAAAAGAACATCTGGTGTTAGCAAGGTTGAGTATTGTTCAGTATTGTTGTTGTTTTTTATGTAGGGCATCCAGCTCCTTTTTGGCCTCTGCAAATCTCTCTTTGTCGTACGCGTCAACAAGGTAAACCAACTTCCAAAAGAAACTTTGATATCCATTCATGCCCTTGCATGTGGCTCTTGGAACTGAAATATTTCAAATATCATCACAAGAGAAAATCATTTTACAACAGAATAAAAATTTGGCAAACTTAAATTACAGGAGGAAATCTCCAGTCATCAAGAAGATACATAATGCAAAAAAGTAGATAAAGAAAACAGTGGTCAAGGATGTCCGCACCCTTTCAGTGATTTTAATCTCTCCAATAACTGCTCACTATGCTTCAGAACTGAAAAAATAAGGTCATTCTCCGTGTCATCTTCTTCATGAACCATGGATTGATCAGCATCTGTGGCATCCCCATTGCACAAGAGAGTATCACCCGAGTCCTGGGAAGAAACACTGTCCCCAGGTGAAGAAATTTTACGATACAGTGCAAGGGCTGCATTGGAGCTATTTTTCGTCTCAGTTTGGTTAGCATCAGAACCTGGCCTTTTATCTTCTAAACCATTATCTTTAAATCCATCATTCTGATCCTCTATCTGGGCCTCGGGCTCATCAATTTCTTGAGTTTCATGGATTACATTGCCTGCTTTACAGTGATTATTAGGATGCACTGTTACAGAACCATCCAATTCCATGTCTAAAGTGGAATTTGGTTCATGTGTCCCCACCAAGAGGACCGTTTCTTACTTCAGTATCAGGAGCAGTTTTCTGCTCACCCGTTAATTCAGCTCCCTGAGCCAACAGATCAGGAACTACCCATGAAGTTTCCCCAGTCACAGTATTCCAGTAGCAAACTCATCAAATGTCTTATCCAAGAGCTGATTGATAAATACACCAACTTTCATATAAACCAGAAAAAAGGGCTAAAAGATCAATAGAAAGAAGATACAAACTAGGATTGGTCATCTGATGTTTAGGATTAGAAGTATCCCCAAATTTTTTGTCTAAGAGTTCATACACACCCGTTAGAGGATGTATGTATGCACCTCATTTTGGACCATTGGATTTGAGAGAATACATCTACCCTAAAATATTTTAATAATAAAAATGGGTTATCTTCTGCACCTGTTTCCTCTGCAGTTCATGCCATATCAACAATTGAGAACGAACCCTATTAATGGGATCAATTAGCTAATCAATCCATGCCAAACCAAGAATCGATTTGCTAATTGTTATTGTTTGTATTGGAAGCACTGCCGTCTCAAATAATGACCACCCATTTAGCTAAAACTAATATTTCTCAACTGTTGGAACAGAAAGAAAATGATAGTACCTAAACAAAACTGCAAATGATGGAAAGAAAATGATTGTACCTGGATAATACTGCACGTGTCTCCACCATGAGTCGATCAAATTTGGTACTATCAGAAGGATCTGTGCTGTCACTGTTGGAGAATGCAACAAGTTTGTAGAAATTAGGATCCTCCGGCATTAAATAGTCCACCCAGTGATGAGGGCTTCCCATGCTCATGAACATGTCCAATATCGGCACAGTCGTTTCATGAAGTACAGTGGTGTTGAACAAATCCTTCAACTGCTTTCTGCAAATGAAAAGTTCATGAACACTTGCCATATTTTACAATATTGGGTCTATTTCCAATCAACTTAAGCTTTTGGGACAATTGGCGACTTGACAATAGCTTTTAAAATATCTATAAGATATATCCTTTGATGTAACATAAACTATGATTTATGAACACTTGCCATATTTTACAAGTCTTACCCCTTGAGGACTTCAGATGCTGCTGCCTGCATATTAGAAATCAAAGTGGGCATGCCGTAATTTGAAAGAAAATCAGGGCTTGCCAGAAACTGCTGCTGGTCATTTCTGTCAATTAGATCAGCCTCATCCTGTAAAAACAATAATAAAAAAGGAATGAATTCAGATAAGCTACAAACAATCAGGGCCAACAGAAGAATGTCAAAAAGATGAGATGGGAGAATTGTAGGAACATAAAATTATGCTATTACATTATTGTTTTCTGTTTTATCTAATTTCATCCAAGGCTTCCAAGAACAAATTTCATCAATCTTAACTAATTTTTACAAGTAAATAACACCAGGAGCATTGATAAGTCATCTCTTAGAAATATTTCCAAAAAAAAAAAAAACAAAACAGAATACCATAGCAATATGTGTTATAGTAAACTATTGGATAGGACTACAAAGTTTACAAGCAAAGTGAAGGCAAAACAGCTTTTCCTTGAGCTTTTAAGCTCTCTACCCCAACCAATTAATTTTTTAAAGAGTGTCATGTTAGAGAATCAAAAGCAAACAAAATATTGCTTACTCCTGTTTGGTACACCAATAAAATAAAACCAAGGGTACAAGCAAAACCAAACACAATACAGCACATAAACAAGCATGTAACTTGGAAGCAAAAGCACTGATAAAAGATGGAATTCTGAAGAATATAAAATCCGGAATTCTAAGGCAGACACCTCAAAATGCTACTCTATTCAACAGTCATGTACCCAATCAACAGACTATAATTTTGAAACTGAATTTAAGTCTCTGCCTCCCTGGAATAGCTAAAACAGGTGCAGGAAATCCCCGAAAGCTCTGCATTCTTTGCTTTTCTAAATTAGTTAAACTTCTCCATTGTAGTTTAGGATAGTTGATCTGTTGACCACTATAAAATTGAATGTATTCATCTCCGTACAACGTAGAACAAGCGGAATGTAATTTAAAGAACAACTGGCCGTTAAAGGACTACTTTCATATGTAAACTATAGAAGGAAAGGCTTATTAATCAGTGGTTCAAACTTACCCTAATACGGCATCTCTTAGAAATATGGTAATACTAGAGAAAGATTAATATAGCAACAAAAGTATAAATGAGAAAATTTGGGTTGTACATGTTTGTTTTTCTCAGTAATAAACAGGAGAAAAAGAGTTAGGATCTTACAAGCAGATGAGAACTTCCAAGATCACGTGCGTGTTCATATATAAATGTCCTGCCCAATATGTTGACTGTGAACTCTAATATATAAGCTAAGCATTGTCATTGCCAAGGACAACACACCATTCTTGTGAAACTGCACAAACCAATAAAACAAAAGGTCAGCACAAGGTAAGCTCAATCTCTAGTAACTTAACAGTTCTAAGATTTAAAGAAAACATCACATTAACAATCATACTTAAAATTTTGAGTTTCTCCCAGTACTATTGCTTAATCAACAAAAAGAGGGTTAGTCCCAAATTAATACAAAATTAATCAACAAAAAGAAAAAGAGGGTTAAACTATTGCTTATAATTACAACATACCCAGATGAAGATAAAACAAATTTAGTCATAAAAAATGAGTAACTTTAAAAGAAATCCAAATCATACTATTATAATATATTAAAAAGACGATGAGTAATTGAGGACATCAGTGTTAGTCCATTGGA